TCTCCCGCCAGGCCTTCCGGTCTTCCGCCATCCTCTGAAGTTTGCTCAACTTCATGTTCGTTGCATCGATGACACTGTCTTTTTTTTTTTTGCAAATATTTTTATTGGGTTTTTCTTACAGTCTCTTTTACACCGTTTAACAAATTTCATTGACATATCTTATCCTTCCACACTAAACATCTCTTCTTGTTTTCCAAACATATATTGTATTCAAATAAATATGCCACACCGGTTTACATTTCCTTTCAGTTATTTTCCAAGAACAGTGCTTATGCTTAAATCTCGTTTCCCTTTTCTGCTAGCCTAGACTCCATTTATTTCTGTCTTATTCTTTATCTTTAACCAGCTATATATTCCTCCCCGTTTTTCCCAATATTTTTGTTCCGGTCTATGTTTTAGTTCCATGTTTACTCTGTCTATTTCCGCTATTTCCAAGATCTTAATTTTTAATTCCTTAATTGAGGGTATAGTGTTTGATTTCCATCTTTTTGCGATCAGTATATGTGCCGCTGTTAAAGTGTAAATAAGGATCTGTTTGTGTTTTTTTATCGTGTCCGGGATCATATTTAATAAGAATATTTCTGGGAGTAGAGGTAATTTAATCTTTAATATTTTGTTTAGAACTTTTTGCACTTTTTTCCAGAAGTTTTGTATCTTGTGGCAGTTCCACCAGATGTGCATGAAAGTCCCCACGTTTTTTTTGCACCTCCAACATCGATGACACTGTCTAACCATCTCATCCTTTGTCGTCCCCGTCTTCTTTGACCTTCAATCTTTCCCAGCATGCAGGCAGATGGATGCGTATATGAGCTCATGCATATATGTGCATATGTGCAGCAACTAAAAAAAACAGTGGAGGAAAATGGATCTGCAAGTTCAGACATCCCTTCTGGGTTCCTTTCGCTGCAGGAGAGTTCAGATGTCGGAAAACCCAGAGAGAACCACAAACAATCGGTTTCCACTGCAGAACAGCACGGGCTGCCAACAACTGTGCCAAGGGAGGCAGATGTCCTCATCTGGAGGGGCCCATTTATTCCGTTCAGGCAACACCACGATAGCGCCACAAACTGCATGCGGGACCTGCAGCCTGAGTGATCCCGGGGTAGTCCCTCCTCTCTTAATTTAACCTACCTCACAGGGTTATTGTAAATGAAGAACACAGGGAAGCAAGATAAAAGTGTTACCAGATATACAGATCATTTTCTGCCAAAAGTCTCACACTACCACTAGGAATTATCCCAGGCCCAATTCTGGGCAATCACCCCATTAACTCGGCCCAGGTTTCCCATATGTCCCTGCCTGAGAATTAAGATCACAGGTTGAGTCCCTCCTGAGCAGAGGTCCATCAGTGGCTATTAGCCAAAAGGTATAGATAGGGACCCTGGGGCAAGTGATGCTCTGTCTTCTTGGTGCTTGGGGGGGGGGGGGCAACAGTGGGAGGGCTTCTAATGTCCTGGCCCCACTGATGGACCTCCTGATGGCACTGGTATTTCCGGCCACTGTGTGATACAGAGTGTTGGACTGGATGGGCCTTTGGCCTGATCCAACATTGGCATCTCTTATGTTCTTATTGCCCTACTGTTGTGTCCGCAGAGAGTCACTAGCTTAGTCCGAGCTTGTTCTGGGAGAACAACAGGATCTAGGATCCTAGGCCCACCAATAGGATCCCTGGAGGGAATTCAAACCCACCAGTAGTAAGAGGGAGGTGGACTAGGAAGTGGTTTGGGTGCCCATATATTCAGGACCCCGTGGGCAAGGTTTGTTGTTGTTGTTGTTGTGTTGATCACTATGCTGCATCACTGAGTCTTTATGCAACGAACCCTGCATACAACACCCATCAATCAAAGAACCTGGTCTGGGGGGGACACACGAGAGAGGGGCCATTTCGACAGCAGCCCCACAATTATGGAACAACTTCCCCACGGTGGTGTGCCTGGCCCCCCTCACTGCTGATCTTCAGGAGACCGTTGAAGACAGTTTTATTGAGGACTGCATTTGACCCATTTAGTTTTTATTTATTGGCAGTCATAACTGTAGGGTTACCAGATGCCCTCTTTTTAGAGAACACATACTCTTTCTTTGGAGCCCTCTTTTGGGCTCTGTTAAAAAAATGGATGAAAATGTCCTCTTCTGGGGTTGGAAGGTAAGGAATATTCCTAGTTAGGTGCAATTATCACAGCATAAATAGTAGGGGTATTTAAAATGAGATTTGTCATAGTGATTACTTGTTTGAAGTAGTCAGTCGGGAAATGTGTCCTCCTTTTGCTTTTCAAAACATGGTAACCTTACATTACTGAAATTTTAAATTGTGCTCTTTTCAAAATAATTGTCGGTTTATTTACATTGCAAGCCTCGAGTTCCGCAAGGTAGAAAGGCAGCTGCTAAATGTTCTAAATAAATATTTGCAAGGAGCAGCTTGGCTGCACCTTCAGACAAAAACACATGGAAGCAGCCCCAGATGGCAGGCGGGGCGAGAGACGCAGCTCTCCTTAATAGCCGCCCTGCTGGATTGGACCTGGATTGGATCCAGCATCCAGTTTCCAGGAGGGGCCAGGCAGATGCTGTTAGGAACCCCACAAGGCAGGCATGAACTCAAGAGCCCTCCCCTGTGGCCTGCGTTCTGCCTCTGAAGACCAAAGTCCCATTTACCCATTGAGTCTAACAGCCATTGACCAAGCTATCCCCTGTGAATTTTTCTCATCCTTAAAAAAGCCATACATTTGAATTAGTGGACATAACTCGTTCCTGTGAACGTTGTTGGTTAACTATAGGGTTTCTGGACCGACTTACCAGATTATATCTTGACATTTTAGAATAGCTACCTCCGCCTTTCTCCATCCGCTTCCTCCTTCTCCTAATTACCTTGTTTTGTGTATTATATCTATGTTTCACATATTATATAGAACAGTGTTGAAATTGTACTCCTTCTGTTAAGATTGTGTATTTTTCCTAAACAATATCCATCATATATTTATAAGGTTTTATGTATTGTAAGCTCTGATCAAGCTGTATATTACTGTTGTTTGTTATCTGTTAATCTAGAGTCCTATATTTTAATTCAGTATATAATAATAAAAAATATAGGGGGGGAAACTAAAGGGTTACCAGACGTCTTCTTTTTAGAGGACATGCCCTCTTTTTTGTGTGTGTCCATCCTCTTTTTGGGTTGGACGGTTAGAAATATCCCTAGTTAGCAGCAATTATCGCCACTTAAATAGTAAAGGTTTCCCTTGCTCGAAAGCCAGTCAACTCCGACTCTAGGGGGGCGGTGCTCATCTCCATTTCCAAGCCGAAGAGCTAGTGCTGTCCGAAGAGGTTTCCGTGGTCATGTGGCCAGCATAACTAAATGCCAAGGTGCATGGAATGCTGTTACCTTCCCACCGAAGCGGTACCTATTAATCTACTCGCAATTTCTTGCTTTCGAACTGCTAGGTTGGCAGGAGCTGGGGAAAGAGACAGGAGCTCACTGCGTCATGCAGCACTCGGGTCTCGAACTGCCAAACTACAGACCTTCCAGTCTGCAGCTCAGCATCTTAACCTCTGAGTCGCCTTAAAATAAGATTTGTCATAGTGATCATTTGTTTGAAGTAGTCAGTCGGGCAATATGTCCTCTTTTTTGCTTTTCGAAATTCGGTAACCCTAGTTAATTAAGAAGTGTGTGAAGAAATGCTTTCTCGCCCCACCCTGCAAACCTGAATCTAGTACCCATTAATTTCATCGAGTAACCCACAGTTTTAGTTGTTGTGTGCTGCATTTTCAAGATGCTATCCCAGTAGGCCTCAGATCAAGCAATAGTAGAAAGGACCAAGCCCACTGTAGTCGACCTACCCTCCTCCAACACTCCATGCACAAGTCTATGGCGCAGATTCCCCTCTGCCTGCAAAAGCTCTTTTTCCATACAGAATAAGAAAGCCAGCAGTGGCAGAAACAGATGGTGGGAGTGAACAGAGGATGGTGAAAGGGGGTAAAAAAAAGTGAAAGGAAGAGAGTGAGCAGTGGGGGGAAGATTATGAAAGATAAAAGGTGGAGAAGGTGAACAATGGTAGGAAAAATGAATGAGAAAGAGAATATAGAAGAATTTCAGAAGTTACTCAACCTTGGGTGCTTTTGCAGTTGAAAAAACCACCATAGAAATGGTAACTGCACAGCATCAGGCATGGGATTTCACGACTTCCTGTCATGTGACTACGAGGTAACTTTACTTCCAAACACGGGCCTGCAGCTCACCCGGATCCTATGCTGTCATGGGGGGGGGGTTAAAGGTGAGTTACAAGGTCTGGAAAGTTTGGGGAAAGCCGCCCTGGACCAGCCTCAACATTTCCATCTGGCCGCACTTCTGAAGGCAAGATCAGTCCTGGGACGGAGTCCAACTATCATTAATGGAAGTCCACCTTCAAGTTTCCAGTCTTCTCTCTGAGGAACGGCTGAAAAACGTCAAGAAACACCTCCCCCCCCGGTTTCCCATCAGGCAGCTTGAAAACAACTTGCCCAGGGTGTTACCATCTTGTGGCTTCCTTGTTCCAGGAAAGTCTTTTTTGTGGCCAAGTGAATGGGGGGGGGACACCAGTGGGGTGGGTCAGTAAGGAGAGAAATGCTCACAAAAAGCCATCTGCCTTTAAGGGCTCCCCCTATGGGTGTAATTTATGTACTTTGCAGAGAATTCACCTTCGATAACGGGGAGGGCAAAGGACGCAAAGAGAAGACAGGGTGTTACCATCTTGTGGCTTCCTTGATCCAGGAAAGTCTTTCTTGTGGCCAAGTGAATGGGGGGAGGGGCGCCACACCAGTGGGGTGGGTCAGTTAGGAGAGAAATGCTCTCAAAAAGTCATCTGCCTTTAAGGGCTGCCGCTATGGGTGTAATTTATGTACTTTGCAGAGAATTCACCTTCGATAAAGGGGAGGGCAAAGGACGCAATGAGAAGAAAGCTGTAAAAAGGGGGTTATAACAATACACGGAGGATAAACAAAGTAAAAAGGACCGGGAAAGAAATGACACTTACCCCTTGTTCTGATTCCAGCAGCTCTGTTTTGACTCTGACTGCAGGCATCCCATCAAGCATTAACATTCTGTTTCCAAATGTGCTGATGTCCTTAAAGAGAAGAAAAGTGAGGATAAGCTTTGGGCTGGGATGGGGGGGAGGGAGGAGGGGGGAAATTATGGAATAAATTAGGGGGCTCTTACCCAGGGCAAGAATTTTAAATTGATTAGTCTGGTTTCTTTTTTTGCTTATTTTTAAAATTTTACTTTTTAAAAAATTCCTAGCCGCCTCTCCCTTGCCAGCAGGCCCGTAGCTAACGCGGGGCCCGCGGGGCCCAACCCCCACACACTGTTTTTGCAGGTTTCTTCCCCGACCTTCAGCTCCTCACCCCCTGATCGATCTGAGCCGGCATCTCCCTGTTTGAGCTCATCTGTGATGAGCTGAGTCTCTTTAGGACCCAGCAGCAACCGGTGGTTGACGGTAAGTCCCACACACATTGGTCGGATTGCAGCAGTTTGCTCCCCCTGTTGGATTTTCTGCCCCAGGCTTCAGAAAAGATCGTCGGCTCAGGGAAGGAGCGAGGGAGGAAGCTTGTTCCCTGCTCTCCTTTTTTTTTCCTTTTAAACATGGTAGCTTTCCTAGACCTTTTAGTGACTATTAACATTGGGATTCTGGCTCACCTCAGAGGAAGGCTCTAGTGGGGGCTGTGTGGGTGCATGCCAAGCAGACCCCCCCTTGCCCTGGAGCCTTTGATGTAATTAGCTGCTGGGGGGCCCCAAGGCCCCCTCCCCCCAAAATCCCTAGCTACGGGGCTGCCTGCCAGCATGCTAGATTCGAGTTATGCGCCACCCTTCACTACCCAAAGGAGTCTCAGAGCGGCTTACAAACTCAGGGTTGAAAACAACTTGCCCAAGGTGTTACCAAAACATCTTGTGGCTTCCGTGTTCCAGGAAAGTCTTTTTTGTGGCCAAGTGAATGGGGGCGAGGACCAGTGGGGTCCCCTCTTTGAGACTCCTTAAGGTAGAGAAAAGCACGGTATAAAAACCTAATTTTCTTCTTCATCTTCTTCTTGTGGAGCTCAAGGCAGCTTACGATACATAGAAAATATAATATAAATACAACACAATATAATATACATCTTACAATACAACCCCAAAAAAGAGAATAAAAACAAACAATTATACAACCCATAAAAGTCGTGATTTAAAAACTCCAATTAGGACTGCCAATAATAAAAACTAAATCAATCAAATGCAAATGCAAATTAAATTTGAACAGAAGATGATCGACATTATCTATACAGCAGTGTTACCTCTAAGCTGTGCATGTGAGCGGCCGTCCATTAACACAGGAAGCCCCGCTCAGCAGCAGTCTGGAGCCCCGCAGGGTCTCACACTGCCCATTGCCTAATTGAAGATCACAGCAGTTCTATTCAGCTCAGGATGTGAACTGCTCCGCTCAGTAGCTGGCAACCCTAAACCCTGTTTAGGATTGACAGATACAGTTAAGCTTCCATACCCTGTATGGAATAAATTACACAAACTGAAGAAATTCATGTAACTGTTTTACTTTGCACAGCGGATCCTTGTTTAGGAGCTAATAAACCCCCCCTCCGGAGTAACGCAGTAAAAATTATTCTCGGAAGTTTATACGTGCACGTGTTTATCAGGCTTGGCTCTTGCCTCCCAGGGTGTTACAGCTGACATCATGGGTTAGAATGTTAGACTAGGGTGGAGCAGAAAAAGCAGGCAGCCGGGATCTCATTTCATCGAAGCTCCAAACTCTCCATCCTGGTTGTTTTCCTTCTGCAAGACAGGGTCTCTCTGCTGCTCTACGCAGCATCCCTTAGGCCAAGCCCCAGCTAAAGTCACCTCCGCCAGCTGCATAGGAGGGCCTGCCGGGTGCCCGACATTTTCCTTCTCCTTGGGGATCGGGGCCAGGAGGCATTTCATCCACCTCCTGCTAGGCTGATGTGCAACATCCAGCTCCGCTGGGCAGCCAGCTGTGCAGGCCTGCCTTTGGACGCTTCATCCGTAGCCAAAGAAGGATAAGCTGATGTGATTTTGCATCCCGGAGAGGGTCTCGCCCGAAGGGAGAAAGGGGGCTGCCTCCCACACAAAGTGGGGGGGGGGAGGAGGGCAGAGGAACAGGGGACAAAAGAGGGCTTCTCAAACCGGGAGGCTTAATGAACTGTCGGAATCTGATTAGGGGCTAATGTCCCTTTGAGTGCTCAGCACCAGTTTACAGCTGATATACTTTAACCATTTTCCTCCACTGACTGCAATGAACTCATTAGCTCCCCCCCCCCCCATAGAAGCTAACTGGAGCCTTTGACATTTTTTGCAAGTAATAAATCACAGGAGCTCAACTGGTTCATGTGCCATTGAACACATTTACATTTTGCTGGGTTCCCCCCCCCCCCTCCAGCTCTCTGGCTCTCTCTCCTTATTTTGTTGTCCCGAGGCGTAATTTCTCAAAGGAGAGGTCCCGCCCTTACGTTGCAGTAACAAGAAAAGGGGAACGTGGCAGAAAGGTCTAGCGTCTGCGTGATACATCAGCTGGGGTGGGGGGGGAATTTAATCACGGCTTGCCTTTTCTCCAACTGGGAGAGGGTGGGTCACACACATTAAGTGCTGAAGAGGTGCCATTCCGACTTCATCGGCTTTTATGATAAAATTAAAGCTACGCGGTGTCAGGAATGCGGGGAGGACCCGGGGCAAAACACGGGCTTGGGGCTTCCCTCCATCAAACTTGGTCAGTAGGTTACGATTTCTTTAAGTGCATTAAATATCAATGTAACACAATTATTATACAGTTCGGCACGCAGTGGTTAATAATGACACCTTTATAACTAACCGAATACTGACAGCTTTATAAATAAATATGAATAACGATTCACTAGAGAGGCGACCAGCCTTCCTATTTGACCTTGTAAGCTTTGAATGGAAAGGCAACAGAAACCAGTATGCAGATAGCCCTGGCTGGAAGGATGTTGACAAGCTCGAGCGTGTCCAGAAGAGGGCAACCAGGATGGTGAGAGGGTTGGAATCCAAGTCTTATGAGGAAAGGCTGAAAGAGTTGGGTATGCTTAGCCTGGGAAAGAGAAGGCTTAGAGGGGACATGATTGCAGTCTTCAAGTATTTGAAGGGCTGTCATGTAGAAGATGGAGCAGATCTATTCTCTCTTGCTCCGGATTGCAAGACTAGATCTAATGGGTGGAAGTTACAAGGGAGTCGTTACCGGCTAAATATCAGGAGGAACTTCCTAACTGTCAGAGTGGTTGAGCAGTGGAACAGTCTGCCTCGGGAGGTGGTGGATCCTCCTTCACTGGACGTTTTCAAGTGGAGGCTAGACGACCATCTTTCGGGTATGTTGTAGGGCTATCTTTCGGCAGGGGGTTGGACTAGATGACCTGCAAGGTCCCTTCCAACTCTAACATGCTATGATTCTATCACGTCAGCTCTCAGAAGCCAAGCAGGGACTTATTTGATTGGTCAGTACTTGCATCAGAGACCAATCAAAGAAGTCCAAGTTGGCTATGCAGAGGCAGGCAATGGCACTCCACCTCTGAGCATCTCTTGACTTGAAAACCCGATGTTGCCGCCGGACGTCGGCTGTAGGTCCTGAGACTCTGTGGAACCCCAGAACAGTTTGCTTCCTTGGTGCTCCCTTCTCTGTGCCCCATGTCCTATCTCATTTCACCAGGAAGAATGACCAACGCTGGAGTTAAAGCAAGAAGAAGAAAAAGACTGGATTTTTACTCTGCCCTTCACTACCCGAAGGAGTCTCAGAGCAGCTTACAATCCCTTCCTCTCCCCACACCAGACACCCTGTGAGGTAGGTGGGGCTGAGAGAGCTCTTTTGAGAATTGCTCTTGACAGAACAGTTCCGAAAGAACTTGTAACTGACCCAAGGTCACACCAGCAGCTACTTGTGGAGGAGTGGGGTCTCAAACCCGGTTCTCCCAGATTAGAGTATTTGCTCCTAACCACTACACTCTCTAGTGCAACCCGGATAGCCATCCACAGCCTGCTAAGCATATATGACAGGCAATCAGGCGCTGAAGAACCATTTTACATCCAGCTTTGTAACTCACAATTTATGCAGACCAGGGCTAAAGCTAGGTTCAGATTTTGAAAGCTGGTCAGCAAGATCCTCTACTTTCTTTCTGTTCATATCTAGAAGACACCAAATGGGAATATAGCTATTCTTATTTGGGTCATATCCAGTGTTCCCTCTAAGCTGAGTTAGTGAGCTAGCTCACAGTTTCCTCTCCTCCGGCTCACACATTTTGGTCTTAGCTCAGGAAGGATGGCTCCAGGGCAAACTAGTTTATGCAGCAGCCAAATTGCTCGCTCACAACTTTAATGCCAGTAGCTCACAAAGTAGAATTTTTGCTCACAAGACTCCATAGCTTAGAGGGAGCATTGGTCATATCCACTCCCAATTGCGTAGCAATACAGTAGCAGCATTTCTAAAAGCTCGGGGCAGATTTTGGCTTGCTTTTTTTTAACCACTCTGTCTGCCTTTGTGGTGCTCTGAAGATGTTGCCTTCTCGGAGAAGTAGAGTGAAGGAGGAACAGATGGGCGACTAAACCGATCTATAGTGCTTTGGAGAAGACCCAAAACCACCAAGTTACTCTCCACAATGGCCAAAAAATTAAACTCGGGCTCTTTTATGCACGATGCAGAGAACAACAGAGAGCTTCATAATCTGCAGGACTTCCTTTGAAGCCGAAAGTTTGGCTCACGCTTCCTGTCATGGCTCCACTTGGTCTAGCGGCTGAGTCAGATTGCCTTACGATTGCTCGGAAGTGAATTCATTCTCCTCTTCCAGGATAAAGGCAGTTGCTGTATCACAACAGTATTCAAGAAACATAAGGAATAAAGTTTTGGAAAACAGAAGGCCATAGAGGAGGGGGCAGGTGTCTGAAAAGGGGCAAGGATAACAAGCCATGGATAGAAGAAGATACGGACAAGAGGAATGGGGAAAACCAATCAGCTGTTGGGTTCTTTGTCTTAGGGTCAGGTCACACGGACATTTAGTGCTGGCTTCGCTGCTGATCCCTCGCACATTAAAGATTCCTGTTCATATTGGCAAACCTACCTCCCGCACCGAAGCGGGCTGAGTCCCGCGGTTTCCGCTGTTTTATCCGCATTTTCTGACACCCGTTGGAACAGGTGTTTTCCGATATCTCGCGCTTTGTATCCGCGGTTTTGGTATCTGGACAGCAATCCGCCGTGACCGCGCTACCCTCCCCCCCCCCTTTTTGTGTTTCCGGTTTAAGTTATGCACATGTGCAAACAGGCGCTAGCTTTTATTTTGGTCTTCTTAGTTTGTATGTACGCCCAAGCGCATGCACAGGGTTTTTTTTTTAAAAAAAAAACGTGCCGCAGCGGGGACGGTACGCTGTGTGATCAGTACTTCGTGCGAGTGAAGCAGAAGACAGAGGGACCGTCTGACCACCTCCAAGCGATATAAAATGTCGCGGATAGAAGAACTGCGGGAAAACTAGCGTGGTAAGAGGTCCGTGTGACCGTGGCCTTAGTCATGCTCTACAGTGAGTATATGACTGAACCAGGAACAAGTGAGGTGGTAGACATGTGAAAAGTACTGAGACCAGAGACTCAGCATTGTGAATCAGCTCTTGTTTATTGAATTACATCAGGAACGAAAGATGCTTTTGGCCGGTCAGCGCCTGGCTTATATGCGTGACCCGCAACACACCCGTGATTGGCTCTATTTACAAGTTAACAACTCAATAGGTCTACTTTCGGATCCGGGCAAACCCATTGGTGCGCCCTAGGATCCGAAGTGGCCATTGTCTTAGGACCGAAGGTCGGAAGGTTTATCTGACCGCATGGCCAGGCTGGCGCTGTTGCGGCCATCTTATTGCAGCTTAATACACAACACCAGTGAAGGTACGTTGCCTGCCCCGCACCTGTAAAGGAGGGTGAGCCTCAAGAAGTGGGGTAAGAAAGGGAAAGACATGGAACAGGAAAAAAGAGGAAAAAACTAGAATCTACAAGACAGATCTCACAGAATTTGGACTGGGATATGGTCAAAAGAAATTGGATAAAGCAAGGTTCTTGACGAAAACAGAATGCATACCAGCTTCAATGTATTAGCCTGCACGAGTTCTACAGCACTAGGTAAATGTTAGCTTGGATGTGGAATGGTGTGGTATAGCCCGATCTCATCCAATCTCAGACGTTAAGCAGGGTCGGTACTTGGACGGGGGACCACCATGGATGATTCTGAGGAGGAAGGCAACGGCAAACCACCTTTGCATCTCATTTATTTATTTACTTAAATTTGTGCCCCGCCCTTCCTGCCACAGCAGGCTCAGGGTGGCTAACAGCATAAAAACAAAATACAGTAAATATATAAATCTCTAAAACAATTAATTAAAAACCCACTTACATCATATACAGTGCTAGCAACTAACTTATGGTATTGAAGATGGTGACTTATGGTATTAAAGATAGTTCCTGACATTCAGCTTGATGTTCATTCTCAGTTTTGGCCGGTGAGCACAGGCTGTCGGTAATAGAACAGGTACCAGGTTTGAATTTTCAATAAGTTGTTAACGTTGGTGTTCAAAGATGTTAATACTGACCATGATGGAAGTGGTGGTGGTGATGGTGGTGATGGCGGTGACGGCTCCTAGTTGAAAGCCTGGCGGAAGAGCTCCGTCTTGCAGGCCCTGCAGAACTGTAAAAGGTCCCGCAGGGCCCTGATCGCCTCCGGGAGCTCAATCCACCAGTATGGAGCTGCCACCGAGAAAGTTCTGGCCCTGGTTGCAGCTAGCGTGGCATCCTTGGGACCTGGAAGGGCCAATCGGTTCTGTGACCCTGGCCGAAGTGCTCTCTGGGGTATATATGGGGAAAGGCAGTCCCTCAGGTACGTCGGACCCTGGCGATACAGGCCTTTGTTGGCATTGCCTTAAGT